GGGGGGGGGGGGGCGTGAGTAGAAGCACGGCTTGTTTCGACGCTATGAGTTCAACCATGCTGACACAATGATTGAGAGGGACTCCGCGTACGGTGCTCGCTCATTCAGTGAGGTCAACAAGTAAGTTATTTATGGATGGGTGAGAACAGCACAGGACACGCGGAGGCACGCGGCCCGACTCGTCGGGACTCTGCCGCAGGCCGTTATAGAATTTTGTCTATCAGACATGGGATTGTCTCGCTCAAAAGGCCACAAAGACCGCGCAGAAAGAGCTAAAAGGTTCGGGGCGCTGGCACGGCCCGCTGCCTATAGCGTTCACCATTGCCGAGACCGGCGCTCTCCCCGAGCGCGGCCAGTACCATGCGCGCCCAGAGGTGCATCATGCTTTCGGGGCACCAGTGCGTGCAGTCGAGCGTGCCCGGGGTCGCGCTCCGGTCAGGCGTCCCAACGTGCAGGTGGCCGGCTTTGCGCGCCGCGTCAAACACGGGCAGATACGCAAACCCGCCGCCGCTACCCTCCCTCGCTCCGGGTGGGCGGAGCAGGAGCCTCCGCTCGGCGCCCACAGCGGGATGGCGGCGGACTTCGGCTAGACAGGGCGCCCTGCCAGGGCCAGGCACGGATCCAGCTTCAACCTCAGAGGGGCCGTGATACTCGCCTGTGCACTCAGTATCGGCAAGCGCCACCGTTCCCACCTCGGGCTTCGCCGCTCGCACGGGGAAGGATCGGCCACATGAAAAGTGTTGCGAGGAGTACTCTCGGAAGATGACCGTCTTGTTGAGCGACTGCCACCTAGCGTGGCACGTTGCTGCGAGCGTGACGAGGTTGGTGAGGTGCGTGCCTCCACACCATCGGATCGCCTGAGCAGCTGCCGTGCCGTGCGGCGTGTAGTCTCGAGCCACCGCGACTCGGACCACGCTGCGGCCTGGTGTTGCAGGCTCCGGTTCAGCGAAGCAGGGGAGACGACTTGCGCCTCTCGATGAGAGACCACGACGATGTCGTGCCCTCGCGCATCAAAGTTCTCATAGTACACTGTGCCGGCATAGTCGAGCTGGCCTCCACCACCGAGGGCGACCGAGGCCGACGTTAGCGGGGCGAGGCGCTCGGCGTCGGCGGCGGTGTCTGCGGCGGCGGCGTGGCGCCTTCGCACAACGTAGTCTCGCATCTGTGCGCTGCCGACCAACTGCACGACCCTGCGACCCCGCACCTGAGAAATGGACAGGGATGCGGCCGAGCCCACTGTATTGGCCGCCCCGGGGCGAAGCTCACCTGCTCCACCCGAAAACCGCCATTGTTGTTGGTGGCGTTGGCCGGGACGCTGGCGCGGACGCCGTCGTTCTGTGCCCAATGGTTGCGGAGCAGGCACGCAATCCAGATGAAGTGCTGCCGGGCCTGTGTTGCGGACCAGGCGAACGCCTCAGCATTACCCACATGTCCATGCACATGCACATGCACATGCACATGCACATGTGCATGTGCATGTGTCAGCGCATCTCGGAGCGACAGGGTTGTGGGTACTACTCCGCATCTATAGCGCTGGCGAGCGAGTCGCCCACAAAGACCATGCGCCTCCCGCGGAGCGCCTCGAGAAAGGCGGCAGGGTCAAAGCGTGGCAGCTCGCAGCTGCGCGGCTCAAAGTCAGCTCGCGCTCGTCGCGCCTCGCCGCACGCGTGCCAGTACGACTTGAAGGCGAGGAGCTCGCACCGGCCGACGCCCGAGGGAAGCCCTTGCCGAGGCGACCTGCTAGTCAATTAAGTCGGCTCCGCAATGGAGCGATGCGTGGGTATGAAGACGAGGGTCTGTGCCTGCGAGCCCAGGCGCCGTTCAGGCCGATCACCGCGCCGCCCGTCTGGACGAAGGTGCAGCGCGGTCTCCGTTTGGTGGTGGCCGTCTGGTTCGCTGTCTTGTTGCCCCGTCGCCGGAAGCGGGCGTTTCGGAGCCGCAGTGCGGCGGCGCTCATCGCCGCAACCACTGCTGGCGCCCGAGAAACGCGATTATAGACCACGCCACGAGGACGTGCGGGTCGCAAGTTCGCAGCGTTCGAGTTCGATGATAGTTGACACAAATAACGCTCTCTCGCCCACCTCGACGCCGCCTGTGTGGCTAGTTCCATTCACTTCGACATGCGATTCTTGAAATATCTCAACAGCTCAACAGCGCCTGTGCCATCAGCGAAAGAGCGAGCGAGCCAAACTCGACGGTTTGACAGGTACTCGCTCGCGTAGGTACATGTAGCGCCTTCCTTGCTTGCCGTACGTATGTCGCAGAGATCTGCGAGGAAGAAGCATGGCTTGGGAACTGTCTATAGAAAGAATTTGAAAATGGCGTGTTGCCGCCGCGTGCCACAAATCAGACAAGCGCCGAATTCCAAGCGCCGGGATATCGTGCCACAAATCAGAGAAGAGCCGGGGTTGATAGACACTGTGGGTGCCAATGCAGTTGCACACACCACCTCCCTGCATGACAACCACTCCCAATCACAATTTGGGGACGGACACGACAGGAAGAAGTGTGAAAGCACAGAGGCAACTAACACACACTTGGGTTCGGGAGAATGCTAGGGTTAGGGAGAGAGTGCCTGACGGGCTTCGGCCCGATCCCCCCCCCTCGACGTAGTCGAGTAACGACGTAGTCGAGTAACCGTGCACTCTCAGAT